TTCACCGTGCGAGTAAGGTTACCGGAGGCCAGTTGTTTCTCTCCCCTAATCCCTAAATCTCCAAAACCCTAATCCCCAAAAGGTCGGCAATGCACTCGTAACTCCTCAGTTCTTGCGGTTGTTCATGGGCGGGCGCTGATTGCTTATCATCTGGTAAAAAGTCGGCTCGTTTTCCGCCCTATCACTTAAAAAAGGGTATGAAGTAGTCCGTTAATATATCTACTTTTAATAAATTTTCCTCGGAGATACTTTTTGTTGTTTTGTTTGCATTGCATTGCATTCGTGCCGAAGCATGTCTCTCCCAAACTCAAAAGCACATGGACAAGGAAGACCACAATCATACTTCAATAAAATCCTTCCATATTAAGCAAAACAAACAATTACATAATACCTAAATACATGTAAGCAAAAGTATTTAAAAATTAACGAAATGTAATTTCCAATCCAATTTGCTTTGGCCCGTGTTACACGAAATAGACGCGGTCAGGCCGCGGCTTGAGGCCGTCAGACACACACTTACGTCAGGTGAAGGGTTGGCGCACACTACATACAATATAATATATTACTCATGTGTTTTAAGTAGGTTGCTTGTAAATAAGATTTTTGGTGGGGTTTTAAATTAAAGAGAGGTCAAAGACCAGGTTTTATAACAATTATTGCAATGAATACTACTTTAAATAAGTTTAAAACAACTTTGAATAACAATTGTTCTTTGGTCATTTTTATTAGCTTCTAGAAGCTCATTACAAAATATATTTTTTTAAATGATATCTTTCCAATATTACATCTCAAAGACGCTAGGCTAATTAAACTGAAAATTAGTCAGGTAAAGAAGTAAACAGCCATTGCAATGCGAGCTTCAAATGGTTACATCACAAAAAAGTTAAACTAAAAAAACACAAAAAAGAAACGTCTGATTAATTTTGAGTGTATTTAAAGGAAATGGTTGTTTAGTTGTCAATATTTAAGGTTTGTTCAATTTATGTTTCAGGTTATGACTATAAATGTTAACATTAATTTCGAAATATATGTTTGTTTTCTTAATTTTTTCTTTAAATCGAATAAAAAAGATTAAAACAACAAGGAAAAACGAAGAAACTCAAACTTAAACTTTTTAAGTGTGGAAGAGCCATGCTTCGGCACGAATGGGTCGGCTCGACCGTAGTGATACCACGGCCTCACAGAAAACCGGCGTGAAATAACCACAGCGTTGTGTTTCGCCGTGTAAGTGAGGTTACCGGAGGCCCAATCCTTCCCCTCCCCCAATCCCTCCTAAATCCCTAAATCTCCAAATCCCTAATCCCTAAAAGGTCGGCAACGCACTCGTAACTCCTCCGTTGCGAGTGTCCATGGGCGGCGCTGATTGCTTACCATCAGGTAATCCGTCTGCTCGTTTGCCGACCTATTAAATAATAATAAAAAAAAACTTACCATTTTCTACACTCAGGTTATGGATATGTGTTTAAAATTTTGCTCTCAACGGCAATGAGTGACAACCCTACCACAGATTGCGTTTTGTGGCATTGCCTGCATCTAAACAGAATTTTGTATGAGAACAGTAATTTGCGTATGTACCTACCTACCTATTACTGTGTGCTATAAATCTATTTGCGATCCAGCAATATGAATTCATTACTTTGTAACATGAATATGATGAGCTAAATAGGGACTATTACTTAACTGCAGTCAATTTCTGCGAAATTAGACTACTATGCCTAGAAACTATGCAAGAAAGTAAACAAATGGTGAAGGAAAACATCGTTAGCAAATCTGAACTTTAAAATATTGAATTATAGTTTAAAATCGCCAATGTGTTTTGTGGCATCGTGGTGGTATACAAACACGTTTTTAAAAGGTTATGTATTCCTGTAAGGGTCTATTAAGACATTCATAGAGTTTACAGTTTTTACATTACAAATGTACTATTTACTTATTATTTATATTCTCCGTGCTACTCTCAAGGGAAAATCTAGTTCTGTATATAGATATAGACATTATGTACACATAGTGAAGTGCTTAGGGTTTTCTATTCCGAACAAAAAGCGAAAGCGTGAACCAAGGAACTCCATACACATGAGCACAAAACGAATGCAGACAAAACATTGGAAAGTGCAGAAAATTCACACTACGCGAGCTTTTCATTGCAGCAAGATAACAAAGTACGGACTAAAATCTCGTTTCGAATACCCTGTCGTTTATTTGAGTTGGCAAACAAATTGCGCTTTTTTTGTGCGCGCAATGAATGGGTGCCGGCCGAATTGCACATTTTGACGCCGAAAACTTTGGACGCGAATTGCGAACGCTGTTAATTGACAATTGTTCTAGTTGTAGGGGATCTGATTCGTATTGATTTATTTGTTGCCATTATTCATTTATTTTTCGAAATTCTAAGGTAAATAAATAGCTTCTTAAGTTCCAATTTTGAGGCTTATATAGAAATATTTGATGGAAAAAGTCAACAGCAGCTGGTAATTGATCAAACTGTAGTACTCAATATAGGAACTTGCTTTATTTATCAGATTTCCGAGAAAATACTAAGGCACAGATAGCGCCCGAAGCAAAAAAAAGTTTTCAGAAAGAAGAAACATTCAATGTAAAGGGGTTAAAAAACTACACTAAAAATATGTTACATATGTTTTGAATTAATATTCCTATTTAAGGGGGACTGGTGATATTTGTCACACGGGTTCGTTGTCACAGAGATCATAAATAAAAGATACCTAAATAAGACAAAAAACATCAGTATTAATATATAGAAAAAGAAGTTTTTTTGAGAAAAGTGAAAGAAAGATTGTCCCGTAAAGATTCTTCATCGCCGATCAATGGACCAATCGCCAAAATTGGTCGCTGAGACAACCAACCTGGGAGACAACCGGCCCGTGAGAACCAATTCTGATCTCCCTTAGGTATGTACCATCCATAGAAGAACAACAATGTTTCCGATAATATAAATATAAAGTCCAAGACATTATTAGACAGATTATTACACTTTTTAGACACTTAAAAGTACTATAATCGCTATCTGTACATAAAGGTAACACTTTGTCAATTATGCAGGCTATCGTGCAAGCAGGCTAGTGCAGGAAACATTAAACTTGAGCAGCCCGATAGCCGATATCGTTGTTAAGTTTCAAGCGCCGAACGGCTATTGAACTATCTTGTTCCATCGAACACCTCGGGCTTTGATAAGACTAAAAGTTTTAAAGTGAAATGAAATGAAGATATGATAGTGGAACTGAATGAAATTAGGTATAGTTATGGACTGATACGATATCTATGATATATCGTAGGAAAAAATTAGGGGTGACTTAACACAAAAATGCTATTGCTTTAAGCGTGGGAGAGCCATACTTCGGGTACGAATGGGTCGGCTCGACCGGAGTGATACCACGGTCTCACAGAAAACCAGCGTGAAGCAATCACAGCATTGTGTTTCGCCGTATGAGTGAGGTTACCAGAGGCCCAATCCTCACCCTCCTCCAATCCCTTCCCTCGCCAATCCCTAATCCCCAAAAGACCGGTTAATCCGTATGCTACCATCAGGTCAACCGTATGTTCGTTTGCCAACCTATCAAATAAATAAAAAAATGCTATACGAGCTATTGCTAAACTAGTTGTTGGTATACCAAAATAGATGGTTTTTAATGAAGTCATATCTTTGGTAACCAATCGTTGGTTTCCTAGCTATTCAATCTTTATTTTCGTATCAGCATACCAAATCATATACTAATAAGTACACATAGTTTGTAATAGAATTAGGGATGGTAGATGTGTTAGTATGAATGGTTGTTTTACAAAGTCGCTAGTAGATTTGAAATGCACAACAAAAGACTGATTTATATTCATTATATAGTTCTAAGGAAATATTGTCTTTTTTTATTATTTGTCCTCAACAGACATTCAATTCAAAGAAAAAGAAATACAAAACAATGGTATAGGTACTGCATATTACTGATTGGAATCTCTTCCAGCAGTAAGTGCTTCGATAGAAGAAATTTGAGAGTATCTATACAAGACACTCGGTACACACTCAAACAAAAAAAAAAGAATAACATAACTAAAACCTAAGACCAAGTCTAAAAGTACCCAAACAAAATTATGACTTATAAATAAAATATATAAGATAAATATTTATATAATAATATGTATTTTCATCTAAGAAAACTATTCATGGACAAACTAGTAACAAGTCATCACACGGCTATGAACCAATTAGTTTTCAGGCTTGGATCTACTTAAAAACAAGAGCTTGGTAAGCGATCGGAGTTTCCAAGATTCCTATTGAGCAGACAACACTGCTGTTATCCAGAGTGTAGTTCGTTAGTAAAGTATTAAAACCACTTAAATTTCTTATAGAACCTTTAAAAGTAAATAATTATCAGTTTCATATAAATAGGGTGTATTATGATGCATTTGGTTTCCCAATGCAATTAATATTACAATTATTTTGTTACTCAATTTGCAGTGATTCCGATTTTAATTTCGATTATGAAATGACAATTACCAATTACTGATTGTTGATTCGAATTTATTTTGATTGCAAATTATGCCGAGTAAAACAAATAATACGTTGCTCAATCCCATTAATTGTATGATTAAATTTTATTAATCGGTAACTTAATACTGTACGTAATTGGAAAAATAATCTTTATTTATATATGAACAAAAATAAATTACAATTAATTTCAGTACATTTAATTAATAGGGGATATCTGTGATAAATACGATAAGTACAATAATTTGAATTACATATTATATGTGATATTATCAACACGTAAGATATACACATATGTTTGGATAGATTTATGGATGAATGTTTCTTAGGTACTCTATCCCGCAAAAAGTTCTGTACGGATTTGACTGAAATTTGACACAGTAAATAGTTATATTTTGGAATACCACATAGACAATTTTGTAGCCTGGTATGGCAGGCGAAGGTTTAAGAAGAAGGGTAGTATTTGCCATTGAACGCCATTAGGTACTAAAAAGGCATCTTTAAGATGTCCCTTGGTAAGTGGACGATTTGAAGATTTAGGGAGACTTGCCTTTGTGTTTATTTTAGCATTGCTTCTCAGATAAGTCACATAGAAAATGCACGTTCATCTAGATTCACTAAAAGTATAATTTTGAGGTGCGAAAGTGCTATTTTATGGCCAAATAAAAATTATTAATACATTCTCTTGTTGGATCAGAGCATAGAGTCGGCTTGTGATTAAAAATGCAATTTTCACACAAAATCAAGTACAGTAACGGTCCAAACTGATCATGATAATGAATGTCATTTTCTCTTTGGTCAGTTTTGGCAAAGAACCTGAAAATATGGATGGGTTCATTTTAAACCTCTTTTATACACTTCAAACATACTCATATTGCTCAGATAAACAAACAAACGCTACGAAACGTATGCAGCATGGATTAAACGGTTCCATATGCATTCAAAAACCGATTCCGAGTATCGATAAACTAATTCAAAACTAATCCACACCCGGCCCTCTGTGTTATTATATGTATTCCACGTATTAATTTATAAAAGAGGATATAAAATGCTGTTTGTTTATCCTCCTTTCACACTGCTACGGAGAGTGACTTTTATTTAAAAAAAGAGGTTATCTTTTGGCCATGAAAACCAACTAAGAAAATGAGTATAAGGTAAATTTCATCGAAAATAAGTATCAAACCAAATCATTGCAAAAACTCATTTATAGCTTGGTGAAAACCGATCTTAGCTTTCTCTAAAAATAAGGAAACTACTTTGGGTAAAATGATTTAACTGACACCAAATAGACAAAATTTGCTTTTGAAAGTCTTATTATGCGTTGTACCTAAAAAAATCGTATTATATAGTTATTTACCTGCCTATGTTACTAACCACTATTTCGTCACAGGTCTAGTAGGTAGTCCCAAACGCGACTGTTGAGTATTGGGTCGAGATTTTAAAGCACAATTTGGGTCCCAGTGTATGGCTAACTCACCGTTGGCCTCTCTTAAATTAACATGTTTCGCGACCCAGTCTCGTTGCATGCCAGTCCCACTCAAAAACAAACAACCGGAATCAAAAATAGGAATATTTCATATATCCGAATACGAATATAATAATAAAACACACAAACAGACGTTCAATATTGTGATACATCACTAAAAATGTTTGTACAGATCAGTCATACAAATATGGCGTTTCCCGCCGTCGCCATCTTGTGAGCAAACTAACATGGACGAAAATGTTCCGTGGATATTATTATATAAATATGTAGTTATGAGTCAGTATAAACACGTAATGGATTAACGTTGGATTTATTGATATGTCTGTTTTGTATAATAATACCTACAAAGAATATTATATTTTTTTTCAAATATGATGACGTCACAGGTCTGTATTCCATGCAAAATTAATTGAAAAGTAGTTAAAACTAGTAGTCAAATAAATATCGTATTCTAAATTAGTTTAATCTACTGGCTAGTGACCGTTTATTCTATTAAAGACAAAAATTTAACTTACTCTAGCTTTTTCTATGTGATAGGACGTCAAACGAGCAGGCGGATTACATGATGGTAAGCAATCAGCGCCTTCACACCCGTAACAACGGAAGAGTTACGAGTTCGTTGCCGACCTTTTGGGGATTAGGCTTTTGCGGTTTAAGGATTGGGGGCGGCTAAGGATTGAGCCTCCAGTAACCAAACTCACACGGCGAAACATAACGCTGTTTAGGTGTTCGAATTTCGAATATTTTGGAAGACAGTTGAACAAATGACCCGTGTTGTCGAATTAGAAATTGTTCAAAGCAATGTTTTGTATAAAAATACAATTTAGAAATATGATATGGCCAAAACAATTTACCCTAAACACAGCCGCCGAGCAATGGCGGGCAAAAAATAGGTACCACCCAACAGCTCGATAGCAATATCGTTTGTGCAGCATTGTACAAATTGCTGGCTTACGTTATTAACATCGTTCCGTTTCCACAATAACCGGGAAATATGGATATGTGCAACGACGAAATGCGACTGTTAGGGTTTAGGCTAAAAGCTTCCTAAACTCGTTTCGTGTGAAAGGCTCTGATCGTAATTGGTTGCCCTTGAATGGTATGTTGATATGTTCAAGTAAGTACACACAAAGACAATTTTTTTTTTAAAGAATTTCTTGAATTCCTATTGCAATTACTTGTATGTATGTGAGCAAGTTCTAAGCAATGCTATTAAAATAATATAGTTTTATGTAACTGTAAAAAAAAATTCTAGTTCATATCTTAATTATTTGTTGTGATACATATGAAAAATGTAAGTAATCGTCTACTCATCAAAAAATATTTTAAACAATCGAAGCCAAAAAATTTACTGTTCCATGCAAAATGATCCATCAGCTGTTGCAATTTATATGGGACAATAAATATTTTGTTTTTGAGATTTCGATAATTAGGTCCCATAGAAAACATTTGTTGTAATTTAGCAACAAAATCGGTTTCTTGAATATGTCCCTTGTTCAAGGTGCCACCCCGTATATATAAGTTATTAAAAAATATGTGATAGGATGGCAAAAGAGCAGACGGATTAGCTGATGGTAAGCATTCAGCGTCACCCACAGTAACGGAAGAGTTACGAGTGCGTGGCCGACCTTTTGAGGATTAGGGATTTGGAGATTTTGGGATTTGTGGAGGGGAAGGATTGGGCCTTCGGTAACCTTAATCACACGTCGAAACACAAAGTCGTTTTACTCTTGGATACTATTTTCTAAAATTTATTGTAAGAACGACGCTATTGAAATATGGTACTAACATAATAACGATTGTAGGTACGTAAACACTTTTAACAATAAAAAAACCTAACTTTTTTTCTATTTACCTGCGATTCAAATCGCAATTAAAAATGCGTAGTTCAAAATCAAATCAGTCTATCCCGTTCAAAACTCATTCATTCATAGAACCGAATTCGAATTTCAAATCCGAATAAATTGTCGTTCGCACGCGGACCATAAACTCGTTATTCAAAAAAAGGTTCGCATTTTAAAAATATGAAAAAAAAAATAAGCATAAACTTCCCGCCAGTCGTGCATACTTCATAGCCGTGTGAGTTTCCAGAATTTTCCGCAAGAGTGCGCTCCGATCGTCGTCTGCTTACATTATGTAGGAGATACGTTGAACTAATGTTATTGAATCGTGAACTGTTTTGAATTTTATTTTACAGGTATATTTCCAATTATATCTTCATCGGTAAGTAACTTACAATTTAAAAAATAGATTAAAACATTTTTGTTTATATAAAAAATAACTACAGCTATTGGCACAACGAAGCATTCCATATTACAATAAACAATAAACTTTATTCGCATTTACTTCAAATCAAAATAAATTGTTTTTATTATAAAATATTTTTTTCTGTTAAGATAACAAATGGAATTTATTATTGTATCTAACCCAATCTAACAAATTATGATCGTACGTTTACTGAGAACTACTACCAAAAACATCAGCCATATTGAATGCATTTTCCTGTACCTACACACATTACCTATAACTAGTAAACATTTACGTTATAATCACAAGAAAGTTCTCTTATTAAGTGAGACCATTCATCAGTGCCAGTAAGCAACGTGCCGCCATATTACTTATACATTCGCCACAAACGGCTAATCTGAACGCAGCCGAGAAAACTTGCCGTGTTTTGATGTATTGCAGTGGAGATAGGCAGATAAATGTGTAAAAGGACGGAACAGAATGGGGTTAAGGCACTTTTTTTTGGTAAAGAACTAAAACCGCTTCGCTGGTCGAGGTTTCACAAGTCGGACTGCTAAGTAAATAGGGTAGCAAAAAGTTTAAGTTACAACCAAATAGTCTTAAATACCAAAAAAGATATGCGTGCTTTTTTTGTAAATATTGTGTTCAGTTTCAGGTCAGATTCTACAATACGTATTTTTGTTTGAAACATTAATGAAACTTTAAATGTCTTTGTTTTCTTATTTTTATAAAATCCCTTTTGTAATGCAAGAAATAAAAAGATTTTTTTCATTATAGTGTTCAGTAAAGTTAAAAATCAAAATCGAAAAGAACTCCATAACTACGGTCATAAAATTAGAAATAAAATACAACTGTCAACAAAATTATTTAAAGTCGTAAAGTGACACAAAATTGTCATTTAAGATGAAGTACCTACCTACCGATGGCAAACTTTAAAACACTCTATTTGCATATTGACGGAAACTCTTAATTTAATCCGATGTGAAACGGAACGCGTACTAATTTGTTTTAACCGAGTTAAGCCTGCTTTCCATAACTTAACTACATTATCCTTTCATAAAATCACACTTTAAGATTTTTATCGTGTTCGATACGAACTTGCGAGCACTCTATTTATAAAAGAGATCGTAATTTCATTAGTACTCACAGAACGGTCTTAATGCAAAACGGAAACGCCTCTCCCTTGAGACAAACTCAATTAATTCCCTTTAAAACACGAGTCCCTCTCAATGAAAGCCTTTAAAATTTAAACACATTTTGACTATTTCAAAGATGGGGTGAGGTACATAACTGTATTTGTATGAAAACATTTGTAAGTGTCCAAGTAAAATCTTCGATGTATTATAAAATGTGTATTCGGGATGATAGGGTTGTGCTGTGCGCATGTCAGTAAGTAACTTGTTGGTTCGCCAAGCGGTGTTGAACGGCAGTGCGGCGCGGTACCGCGAGCGTCAGACTTGTGTCCGCTTGTGAACGCATCCGGAACGCCGGTTTCCGAATTCGAAAATTTTCCGGTCGGTTTGTTTTCGTACGCGTTAATTTGAAATTGGAATGAAGTTTCTTTTTTTTCGAATACATTTTAATATTTTTTGTTATTATTTTTAAAATGTTTCCGTAATAGTTATGTATTTCATTAAAAATGATATAAAAATATTTTTTTAAAACATCTTTTATTACAGTTTTAAAAACAAAATGTGAGCCTTTGAAAAGTCTTTACAACATTATTTATGGTTAATTCCAATTTCAAATACGCAAGACGCTAAAATGGATACAACGTAAACAAACATTAATTCATGACAAAAATGTGTTAAAATGTACTCAAAAGTGAAAATAAAATGACTGTAAAGTGATGTGTACGTAACATGGCTGCTAAAATTCTTGTTATCGCTTGGGCGGCCTGGCTCGCGTTGCCATTGGCAACGAGCCATCTAAATGTTCTCATCAGCCAAGCTGAAGTAATGAAGTTGTTAGGTAAGACTGGATTTGATTACTGTTCGAATGTCTGAATTTCTGACTGATATTGAGTTTGAAACTATTGATTAGTGAAGGGTCGGCTATTTGCTTTGAATTGTGTACGGCACAACTGTTGTCCGGGTTGTTTTCGCAGCGTTTTAGTTTTGTAATCGTAGGCCATGTTATTGTTAAAACTTTGTTTCAAACTGATAAGATAATAATTGTTTGTGAAAACAAATAAATCGATTTGGATTATTAAAGTTTTGCCTTCTTTAGGTTTGAAAAACAAATTGCCTCAGATGTTTTAAAATACTAGGATATTCAGTTTTATGTGTTTTTTTCTTAGAACTTGTAACAAATGTTCCTTAATATTAAATTCCTTAATAGTAAAACTACGTAAAACTATTGTAACAAATTTATTTCATTTATTTTCTTTATCAACTGTTTGGTGACGCCACTTCTTAATTTGTCATGAAGATCTAATTTATATAAAAACAAATAAACACACGTAATAGCTGTTATCAAATTTACTTTGTCTTGAATTTAAAAAAAAATGTATAAAATAGTGCGTATGCTATTGATTTCAAACAAAAAGTTTTTAATTACAACTTAATTAAAAACTTTTTGTTTGTTTGTATGTTTTTAAACGCACCCACGACACCGGAGACAATCATAGTATGGGATAGTGTTTAAAGAATACCCTTACACATTATTATTTTCAGCTCGACTTATTTGACTCTAAGATCAACCTTACTTAGATACAAAATAATAATTATCATTTATTTAATAATGGCATACACAATACATATTATGTATAATAAATAATATTTTTCTATTTAGGTACTTACTATTTTAACATGATTAGCCAAACTAGCAGTTACTGATTAAGAGGTTGAGTTCGAAAATAATGAAAATTTGTGCAAAAAATAAAGCTTTGATGGATTTTTTGTCGTTCTTGGTATATAGGTTAAAAGGAAGACATAGAAAATCAATATGCAGATAATATATTAAGATTTTTTCACAAAACCCTTCAAGGACTCTGTAAACGAAACGATAAAGGTGAAAATTCCTTGATTCAAACATTATCACACGGCTTATTCAAAAGCAAAATCGTAAAAAACGCGCTTCATTAAAAGATCAATGTACCGTAACCTTATACTCCATTAGTCACCAATTTACTAATACTTTTCCACACGTTACTTCCTTATCCAAACAAATGCGTGTGACGTCACCGTATTTTACCCAACTGCCAAAAAGGGAGTCATGTTTGTTTCTATTTACACACGTCTCATATCTGTGACACTATCGAAGCATATAACACAAAGGGTCTGGCTTCAGACGTCATCCCCAGTTTCCGAAGATCAAAAAAATGTAATTATCTACCCTCGATCTACCCTCAACCATTTATATTTGTTCTACAAATTCGACGTATTTCGTACGCAATCGGGTTTGTGCTCAATGTTGTGCTCGATACGAAGTAATTTATCTTGTTTTTGAAGACGAAAGAATGTTAAGTTAAAGAACAAAGAGATTGAAGTTATTCATGTGTGTTAAGGTATTCGTACTTTATCTAAAAACATATCTTCATCAATAAAGTATGTGCATACTTACATTTCGTTAACAACAATTTTACAATTGTCTAAGATATTTGTTAAAAGATCATCGATATAGGCATACAGAATTTATGAAAGGTAATATAAATCGTAGAAGCTATTCGCAATTTAAATTCAATGAATACCTACACTATATAAACCAAAAAATATATTTACATTGTCAATAAAACATTTAAAAATAACACAATATAAAAATTAATGTAACGTATCGTGTCTCTATGAAAACGCGCTCAAACCTCCACTGTACCACTAGTTTATTACTTTAGGGAGCTCGCGACATCAGAACTATTCGAATTGGAATCTTATTACAGATAAAAGAAACTTGCCACCGTGCAATGCATACGCAAGGAACGCCCGAATAACTGCGAATAACTCCGATTGAACCATAAACCAACATGTCATGAGATAAACGGAATAAAAATGAGTGTAATAGTTACTCTGATGGTATATTTCTTGCGATATTTTTGGCGCTATCTTGCTCGTAAGGATTTTTTATCGTGAAAGAAAATGCTTGGAGAAAATTGTGCGTTGTTTTTTATATAAAACAGTTAATGTATATTTTTTAAGATTATGCTTTTATTTTATATCATGAGGTATAATTATATATTCTTTTCAAGTGGATAAAAGCAATATGACAAAGAGAAGGGATAACTGTAATGGGTTCTGAAAGAAAGTACTTACTAGAACTTGAATAAAAACAAAAGAATCGGCCCGATTGTTATAAAACGAGTACACAATAAAAATCCATCAAATTATATCTAATAAAATTCCAACAAAATGATTCATGTCTAATCAACCGCTTTATTACGTCACTAGTTCAACAACCCGCTTCTTCATTCGATCAACGAAATAAAATAAGAACAAATGACAGCTAGGTGTCAAAAATAATAGACTGCAGTGACATCTGTCGGGTAGGGGAATTAATGACAGTTCAAACATCAATTTGGGTGGGACCTTATCGCATCGCGCCAGTGTGGGGTGCTAACTACTTACATCGATGCAGGATGCAAGAAGAAATAGAAGGTCCACTTGGACCATTCGCTACCAATTGTACACAATACGCACCCTCCTACATAATTATAGTAAGTATCGAAGGGGACTGTGATTTGATACTGACAGCTTTATAATGAGACTGTTTACTTCATGTTCACGTTTTGTATTTACCTTGGATCAATGTTGCCTGGAAGAAAATAGTTCTGAAGAGCAGGGAAAAAGACAGAAGAATATCAATATTTATACTCGGAATTTTAATTCCATTCCAGATTTGACAATTTCAGTGTTGCAACGTTATGACACGTACAAAATAGTGACGTTGCGAAATTATTCGTTATGGAAATCGAATATTTCTGAATCGATTCCTCTCGTTTATAAATTTAATCTCGTAAACTAAATTTATCAGGAAATGAAATA